GAAGTATGATTTTTTGAATACGAAAGCAAGGGTTCTTTTTCTGGTTTTTGTTGAACCTCATGATCACCCATCAATTACTGAACAAAACTTCATACATGTGTCACAACCGGATTCCTGAGGAACCAACAATACAAATTAGAAGATAGCTATGGAGTGCGTCAATGACAAATTAAACAATGATTGGTGCGCCTCTTCACTAGAATGCCTCTTCCTTAATTATGGATTAGCTGGTAATTAAAGAATTCTCCTTGGCTGTGAAAACCGTTTTCAGACAACATTATGGTTTAAAAGTTTGTCTGAATTGCTTTTCTTGGTTAGTTAGTTATAGATGATAACTGACATTGTTCTAATTCTATACCTGTCTCCTTCTTTTATGTATGTGTGTGTGTGTATCCTTATTTTCAGCAAAAGTTATGAAACGGTGATATTTGTAAAGGTTACTGCATTAGCTGTCCAGTTTTGCTTATTTGACAGATCGAATCAAAATCTAGTCTTCGTTCATTGAAGAGTTTAGTTCTTTGTATGTTTTCTTCAATGAACAGATAAAAGCTACAAATACATATTGTTAATAAGATCTAAAATCAATGGCACCTATAATTCCCAGTAAATTGAGGTCCAAGAAGACAGAAGTTTTTCAACTTCCCGAATTCCTCATGGAAATGATTAATCTTGAAAATGCAAGCGAGCTTATAAGACCCACATATAAAAATTTCTTAATTCATAGCCACACAACAAATAGTCAGAAGAATAAGAAAATATAGATAAACTTTTGGTACCTGAGAAATTTTATTTTTCTTGAAGAACAACCTATTCATAAAAGAATTTGATTCTATCAGAGGCAGGTACTGTGCATTGATCCAGAAAGAACAACTCTTTTTCTCCTCCGAGACAGTGATACCCAAAATTTTCTCTGCTTCTTCCAAGTGGACATTTTCAGACCTTAATCTTTGTTCCTTTCATTTTTGTTTTCCAGATCCATTCATGTGCACAGGGCGACAAGAATGAGGCACTATTTAGAAGTCAAATTTAATTTTGTATAATGGATAGAAAAGTTGAAATCCAAATTTAGTCTATTTTTAATTGAGGTGCAAGATCGTGAGGACGATGCAATTTTTGCTCACAGATTAAGGAAATAAAAGAAAGAAAAAGAAAAATTCTCTTCCCCAGGAAGACAAAAAAAAAATTAAGGCTATAAATAATTTAGCTATTCTTGTGTACTTATTTACATGCACTACAATATTTGTATTTGTGATTTATATTAATGAATAATCAATATATGCTTATTGATGGATATTTCACTGAATTAAATAGACTTTCATTTCTTTTTCTTTATTTGGTTAGAAAATGTTACAAACTGAGGAGATGAAAATGATCTTCACCCACCATCATGTATATTCTTGCAAGAAATAAAAATAAATATGAATTAAGAATGCTAATAGCAAACATCAGAGTGAAAGGGGGGAAAAGTAATAACTTGATATTAAAGGGAAGAATAATCATTTAGTATGTTTTTAATATTATCATTTAATTTTAAATATTAATTTGGTGCAACTCAACTCCTAAGTTTTAGCTATTGAATCCATTAATTTTGGCATTTTATGACTTGATAATTACAACTCAGTTCCTAAGAAATTAAATATTTTCTAAAAATGCAGAGACAAATTGATAAAATTTGAGAAAGTGAATCATAACTGAATTAAAAATATAAAATTAAATATTAGTTTTTCCTAGTTTTAAAAAAATGTAGATCCATACCTATATACTTTATAATAATAAGTAATTAGTTATACCTAGCTATAATTCATAGTGGATGCTCATAGTTATGCCTTGCGTTAAACAATAAAAGGACAATCTACATCTAAGTGGAACTGAGACCCTGAATTATCTGAAACTTCATACAAATGAGTAGTTGCTTAATTTTTTAAAGGTGTGTGTGTGTGTGTGTGTGTGTATAGAAAGAACTCGAACACACACACACACAATTTTTATGTACCCTATCTCATCTTTATGATTCCAATGATTTTAATTTGGTCCTTTATGATTATATATTTTATAATGAAAATCAGGACTGTGATCAGGAATGAACCGAGGGAATAGCTGAGATGCATTAATTAGTCTTATACAGAAGATCAAAATGGAGATTTTCTACGCACAAAGACAATACATGGGGGATAGATGCATGAATTATTGGCAATTATTAGGCCATTAATTTCCAGGTTGTTGAGGTTCTTTTCAATTCAGGATGTTGTTATATGATCTTTCCAGAATAGGGCCCCGCCCCCCTTGGGAAAAGAACCCTGTCCATGATATTTTCTCCTAAAAATATCAAATTAATGAATAACTCTCATTCTCCCAATAGCCACAATATTTTAGAAGCCTCCTCATTAACATTCACATTATTTTTTTTGAAATTTATGTAGTGATATTTTTGTCAACAAATTAGTGTCTGTACTCTTTCTGGTACATGACAAAAGGAACACAACATACAATGTTTACGATAATAAAGTTGATGAGCCTTTTCATTTGTCGGAAAGAATATATATGATCTAGTCCACGGAATGGAATACTCTAGGACACACATATGATTATATAGAGGCAATCTTAGAATACAGGGTTAATAGGTTTAACGGTTCTTAGGTCAGATTGTAAGAAACTTTATTTTCAACAAAAAACTATTCTAATCAAAGTTTGTCCTTCATGGAAGCAACGAGCTACTTCCTTTCAATTCCTACACCATTAAAAGATAAATTCACATCACCTGGCCTCCTTTTCTATTTTCAAAAAAGTTATATATGCTGTCTTTTGATTGAAATCATATGCTATGCATTGCACGAAATAATAAACAAAATAATATTATATTTATCTTGATATTAATATAAATCTTTCTTTACATATATTATTCATCCTGTACACGCACCAAGCATTCATATGTATGGTGGCAAGAAAAAACATTAATATATACGCCTTTGATTGATTGAAAAACCAATTTTTTTAAAGCTGAAATATAACTTAATTATTTTGAATACAAAATAATAACAACATAAAAATTAAATAAACATTAGAAAACATACATTAATTCATATGATAAATGAATATACTACATTTGATCTTTAATATAAGAGTTAAATAATTAATTTAGAGAGATTAAAAAAATTAGTTAAATGAGTTATTTATAACAAATACATGTTTACTTCCTCAAATTACTTTTATTTAATCATATATATAGAATTACACTTAGATAGAAATATCTTATAATCAATAAGGATCTTTTTTAGAACATGTTATAAATTTGAGAAATAAAATAGGTTCTTATATTTGATATCTTTAGTGATCAAGTGTACGTTGGACCTACATTATTTGAGAAGATTTATGAGCAGAAAAAAGGATGGTGAGGGTTGCAACGACGATTTGATGCTGCACATAAAAATGGAGGCACGTGGAAAGTTTGTACGATATTAATTAATGTCGTATTCTTTCATTGGTTTACTAAAAGCAACGATTAATCAACTTAATGAATTGCAGCTTATTGCAAGTCGTATTCTTTGGGCAAATTTGAATAATAATTGAGCCTTTTTTTATCTCCCCTTTCACAAAAGATTTGAAAATATCATCTCATGCGTGAGGATGATCGGAGTCCTATCCACATACAAAAGCAAAGGACAATAGCCCCATTAATATATACCCTCCCATCGCTTTAACTAATTTATCGATCAGAATTATAAAAAAAAAGTAATTAATTCAGTAAATATGTCTCAAATTGTTTTTTTTTTCCAATTTTACCCATTTAAATGAGATTTGAAGGGAAAAAAATTATAATTAATGAGTTACATTTAAACATTAATTGCACAGGTAAAATGACAAGTAAGCATTAACTACTCTTCAAGGACTTATATTTTAGATCAAATCATTTTTCTAAAAGTGATTTATATATTGTGAATCGGAGGGAGTATAAATAATTACGACTTGATGACTTTTATAAGTTTTAAATTTAAATTAAAGAATTTTGAAAATCACTATAAAAATTACTATTTGGAAACAATTACTTCTATATTTTTTGAAGGTCTTTTAACCTAAACTTTATAAAGAATGAATGTTGATTTTTTTTAAGCTTAATCCTAATTATACCTAAAAGGGTGATATAATAATAAATTGTCAACACCAACAGCTTTTTTAATTTAGAAGAAGAATGAGAATGATCGTAAAATTCACTAATTACACGTATTAGAATCGACAAGGGAATTAATTAAACACATGAAATCTTGTGTGTTTGTTTGTGTGTGTGTGTGTGTTGTTCAGATAAGTAATAATAGTTTTGTAGGCTATTATTTCTCATCAAAACCTGCCGGCCGAGACAAAAACATAGCACTGATTGACATGTGCTCCCTATCTTTCTCTATCTATAGTTGAATATGTGGTATAATAAGGTTACCTTAACTTTTTTGTTTATATTTTATATTATACTCCTCCAGTCCTAAATATAAGACCCTTACACTAGTGTGTATAAGGGTTTTATATTTAGAACCAGAGAAGTATTATATTATATATATTGTGCAACATATGATTTAGAAATAAAAATAATTAAAAAACAGGAAGTTCAATCCCCCGCCCCCAAAAAAAAAAAAAATTGGTTAAGACAATTTGTGAGAGCTATGACACTGTCGTTGGCCAAAAAAGAGAGCTATGACGCTGTCCCCAACACTTCTAATTTCCTTACCTTTGGGGAACTTCTAATATTAGATTCCTTTAAAAAACGTAATACTTTATCTTGTCCATTCTAGCACCTTCCACACACATAAACGATCTAGTTCATTCTGATTCTTGATCTGTCATGAAGATGAAAGTCCCTCGAAATTTAAACAGCTCTCTAGCTCACTCGAGCTGTTTTAATCTTGTGCTGATCTTCAGGTTTATATCGAACCACCTATCCCTGAAATTAAAGTAGTCAACTTATTTCATCATTCTCAATATCTTAATTGATCTCCCAGTCATGAACTATTCAATAGAGAAGCAAGCAAGAAGCTACTTTATTAATGTATTAATTAAAGATCACTAAAGCTAGAAAGACAAGAAGCAACACCACCATTTCAATAAAGCAAAGATATAAAATTACACTAACAGCCTCGTTAAAACGACGTGACATAATATTATAGCATCACAGACTGTGAAAGGCTTAGTCATTTCAAAATCAGACTGAAGCACTTTAATTTAGTTGGCCCCTTAATTTTGTCTGTCTTCCTTTCATATACTACTAGACTGCAATTAGCGGCCTTTGAGCTTCAATCCTGATCTCTTCCTTCATTTTCCTTATGAACTCTTCGAACTTTCTGTTCAACTCATCTGCATTTGATAATTCCTCAGTTTCTGCCACCGTAGTATCATCTTCAGCTTCACCATCTTGCGTCCCCACCATAACCTCCGTACTATCTTGCGTAGTCCCCACTTCTTCATCCTCTTTAGCAGCAGAGGCGTCCATAATGTTTTGATCTCCATCTTCTTGTTCTTCATCATCATCTGCTTCTGATACTTGTTCTTCTTCCTCACAATGGTCTAGCTTCTTTTCTTGTTCTTGATCAGCCATAAGAGAAGGAGTTTCCAGAGAAACTGGTATGGCATTTGCAGATTGAAGAGAGCGATCATCGAAGTCAGAATCTGATAGGTAAAGTGAGGTTTTGGATAGAAAAGCGAGGATTGCATTACAGAGGAGGAACATGTATTTTCTTTCGAAGATGTGGGAAGAGATGGAGAAGAGGAAGGTGGAGAAGAAGGCATTGATGGATTCATCATGAGGGAGTATGGAACAACCAAAGGAGTACCAAAGTAAGAAAGAGAACGCAGAAACTGAGAAAACAAACTGCAAAATTCTTTTCGGAAGAAAGTGCTGCTTCTTCTGAACCTTTTCATCACCACCTTGTTTTTGCAGCTTTTTCCAATCTTCACTTTGATCCATCTGGTGAATTTGAAGGGATGTCATCTGTTCTCCTTTATGGAAACACATGGCCGAAATGTCCTGAAGACTACTAATAGGAAGAAGAAGAAGAAGCCTAAGGCTCTTTTTTCAGAATGAGAGATAAAGATGGAGAGAGAATGAAAGAGAGAATATGAAGAGGGATGGCCTTGCAAGAACTGAGTCGCCCTTGTTTGTGTTGTTATGAGTGGAACTCTAAGCTCCTAGGCTCGTTCCTATTTATAGTGAGCCTTAGCCTCACACAATTATTACTTTGAGGAAAAATTGTGGCATTTTTTCATACTTAGTCTTTTCTTTAAAAGTATTTTCGATGTTATCCTTTACCCTTATCTAAAAAGAAGCCAACATATACTCCTCGGTCCTATTATAAGACCCAATTTAACTTTTTATTTGGTCCTAATTATAAGACCCAATCCATTTTGTCTCTTATATTTATACATTTTTTTCAAGATAATCCTTCTAATAATGATAGTTTTAGCCAATATACTTAATTAGCAAGGATATTTTAGGAATGACAACACTTATTTATTATAAATAACCAACTTAACTTACTTCTTAATCTCCTCAAATAAGTCAATTGGGTCTTATAATTAGGACCGGAGGAGTATTATTTATTGAGTGGATGCTTTATATATATACTCGAGTATATGATTAAATCAAAGCTGCAATAGATCAATATTTCCGAAGTTACATTTTTCTGTTTATTCTTAATTACTATTTTAAAGTTATCGACCTATTTTATTATTTGTCCTTATTTCTTTGAGGGCCAATATTCATCATGTCAAAATTTAACTGCCTTTTGCAATAGGCCGTTCATATTCTTATTGTCAACTCATTATCCGCTGTGTAATGTAATCTGATTTATGATATTGTTGTAGCTAGAATGCTGGCGAACAGAAAAAGGGACATATATAGCTAAATATAATAGAAAGTAAATGATGACATTAATAAAGTGATATATATATATATATATATATATATAACAAAACATGAGTCACAGGACTAAAGTTAAGATAAATGTACATTGAGATTAGAAAATATTTGATGGCATACATTAATGATAATTATAAAAGCTCTTCTATAAATTAAGATTTATAGGATTCAATTTTATTTATAATTTTACATTAGAATAACAAAATTATTTTGTTGGTCTGAATGAATATATATTCCTCCAATCCTAATTATTAAATCTTATTTATAATTTATAAATAAGATTTTATATTATAAGGATATACATACATAGGGATAGAGATGACAGAATAACAAAATTATGGGAAGATGAAGGTCAATCTTGAGTTAAGTATCATGGTAGAAAGAATCACAGGTAAATCAAAGAATGGGTGGCAGAGAGTGAGTGATTGCAAAAGGTTGTATCAGGAATCATCTAGGTGTCACCATTCCTCACCACAAAATCACTCTTTTTTGTGAAGCAGTGACCCCAATCATGACATCATCCTCACCAACATGTGGAGCTCCATAATCTGTGTTCATTGTAAGATTCATGGGCCCCACATCCCATTCCCATCAACCCTCTAACCACCCCAATTTTACAGTCTTTGTGCTCATCCACACCCACCCCTCCATTTTATTTAATTTAGGAAACATTATTCATAGATTTTTAAGTAAAAATATTAAATACAAAGAGATGTCCAAAAATTTATATTTTACATGTCAAATTTTTATATTTTACTGGTTGTTTTATAAGTTAAATTTGTAAAAAAAATTGATTTCTTGAGATTTATCTGTATTTAATTTTCAAAAACTAGGAACCATGAGCAATTTTTCCCGTATAGCTTATTATGTAAATGATTCTATAATATTAACATCACAATGATATAATGTGCATTCGTTATTATCCGGTGCGACAACAATTGAATGACAGTATTCTATTATGATGCGTTGACTAAGCCAGGCCACGTACCCAGACAAACTAAACATATTTAAAGATAATAATTTCTCTAGATGTATCAAATGAAAATGATTCTATAGATACAGAAGACACGTGGGCATTTAGAAAATTTAAAAAAACAAAACTAGTCCCTAATGAGTTTTGCAATTACGTGTCCTATTTCTTCTCCAATTATGGCTGTCGTCGCATGAAGCCACACCCTCCCGCATCAAGCAATCAGCTGTATATGAATCATCAAGAAGTGGATAATCACCATCCCAACGTAATATTTCTGGCTTTTTTTTTTTTATATAATTTGAGTTAGGATTGATTTTAGTTCCTGAAATTTAAAACCAGTAATTTTGATTTCTGAAATTTAACTTTATTTTAGTTCGTTTATAGATTTTTTGTTCTTGAAACAAAGTTTCAACGACCAAGACTACTAATTTCGAGAGATCAAAATCAAAATCTTCACTCCTCTTGCTTTGTTCTCCATCTATATTATTTATTGAGTTAATATAATTTTTAGTTCCTTAAGTTTGTTTTTATTTTGATTTTGGTCTATCAAGTTTTAAACCATAGATTTTGCTTCTTCAAGTTTCTTTCCATTGAAAATATTGATCTCCATGATTTAATAAAAATTTGGATCATTTGGCTCTTTAAGAAACCAAAACCAAAATGAGTACAAACTTAAGGGATAAAAAATTATATTAACTCAATAAATAATGTAGATGGAGAACAAAAAGCAAGAGGTAGTTAGAGTAAGATGGTATTAACACTTAAAATTTTCTCGAAATATTTATTATTGACTTAACCTATATAAATAACTTTGAAATAATTTATAAACAACTTTTTAATTATTGATTTATAAAATACGAAATAAGTATATAAGAAAATTTGTCTTAACTAATGTAAACATGATTATAACCATTTAAATAAGTAGATCCAGATAAGTTATAAATATATTGAGTCTATCTATATTATATAGTATCGTAATTTCATAATTAAGCTTGGAGCATCATCATCAACCTTTATCTCTACGCGAAAAGCAAAGAGATCTATCAGAGCAACATGTCAGAGTATGACAAAGCCACATGTTATAGTTTGTTGCTAGTATGCGACTGTGAGTGCATGCATGAAAACTCAGTCATCCTTCTCATCCATCTCTTCTTTTACTTCTTCAAGTAATTTTCATTCACAACATTATATGAGAAGATTCTATAAGCATTGTGAGGCCTACAAATTTCTTGGGAAATTTAAGAATACACACACACACACACAGATGCATGCGTTCTTCCTCCAATAATAACGTTTTGCATTTTCTGTATAATATTTCACCATACACACAGAATTACATACTGTAGTTTCATTGATTGATCTCTTGAACTAGCTAGCCACACACTGTGCTTTCTCTTCAGATCGATCAAAATAGCCTCAACACATTTCATTTTCAGATGTGTTAGTGTGAGTGGATCATATCTACACAATATGCCTCCCTTGAAGAACAATAATGCAGAACCACAAATTTCATCTTGGTGAAATGATATGCAAGGTTTAACAATTTGGGGCCATATGCTTTTTACCCGCATGAATTATTTGAATAATTAATACTACTTTTTTCCTTAATATAGGATTTTATTAATTAATTTACCGAGATTAAGAAAGTTACTAAATTATTTTCTTTTTGTTTTTTAAAAGTTTAAGTGAATTGGGTTTCGGGGACTTACCAGGGCAAGAGCATGCCTCTAGGCTCAAAAAACGTTTATATAAGTCATTATAAATCACCCAACAATAAAGTTCTTATATTGGTAGTAGGATTTGAACTCACAACCTTATAGGTTATAAGCTGATTCCTTATCAATTGGACTAACTCTTATTAATAATTACTAAATTACTCAATTATAATATATGTTGCATGATCTCTCTAATACGTATGTATATCATTAGATTATATATCAAATTATCAATTTATAAGTAAGTCAAATTAGTTTGGAGAAAAATGATAAATATAAATACTTTAAAATAATTTAATAAATTCTTTAATCTTTTCAAATTAGTCAATTGGATCTTATATCAAGGACTAGAAATAATATATAATCTAATGATACACATAAATATTTTAGAGAGAGCATATGATATATGCTATAATTAAATAATTTAATTTCTTTAATCTTCTCAAATTGGTCAATTGAGTTTTATATCAAGAACTATTGGTTAGTATAGTTTAACATTATATTTGATATATTTGAAATTAAATATAGTAAATAGAAGTTGTAAGTATAAGATCATACTAGCTAATTCAGTTTTGTTTTTCGAAAGTAAGTCAATAAATAAGTCTTTAAATACTTTCAAAGATTATATATACACGCATACACACTATTATACTGTGTGTATGTCTGTGTGGTTCGACCAACTCGATCAATGAGAGGACTGAATGATACGTTTGCTTTTCCATATTAGAAGGAAAAGATGAGGTGGATTTCCAGAATGAGAGTAAAGAATCTCAGCTGGTCAAGGCCAAAAAAACAATTTGACTATCAAACATTTTTCTTCCATATTTACACAAATTACATTTAGAAAGAGATGTAAAAATGGAGGAAATAATTTGAATGTTTCGCATTCATTAAGTCATCTTTTTAAAAAGAAATTTGCAAAAAAATATGTATATATTCTTTCTGATTCTAAATATATGAATCAAATAACTAATTTATAAATATTATATATACTAATAAATCGTTAATTTTGCCATAAAGTAAACTAAGGCTACTTGCACTTTGCTTCATAATTCTTGCACTTATAGATTCTTCGCAGCCGCTGCAAATCTCTCGTCCTTTTCTTTACTCAAGGAACCAGCAATTATGTTCTTACTCTTTCGGTCCTAAATATAATATCTATTTTATAATATAATTTATACTATAAAATGGGTTTTATATTGGATTGGAGGAGTATTTTATATGTCTTGTTATAGTCCGATTTACAAATTTCTCATTAAAAGAAGCTTTATAAATTCTGTATTAGTAGTATAATTATTAGGCATAATTATATTATATTTCCCTTTTCCAAAAGGACTCCACACCATGACACTTCACTCAGCCTTCTGTTAATAAAAACCCTTCATGAGTAGCCTTCTCTGTGAACATCAAACACTAATGAAAACATATTATTA